CCTTCAGAAGTCTCTGCTGCAGTCCCAGCAGTCACCCGACTCACACTGCTATCAACACAATCACCCGACGATATACTATCCTGCCGTCAACATGATCATCCCATTCGTGTCTAGAGTTTCTTCATATGTGAATATTTAAGCCGAATCTGTAGAACGTGCTCACTGGGCAGTGTTCATGTTCCTGGGTTTCAGGGATGTCTGTTTGTGGTGTGATGGATTAGCACAGGTATGTAGTAACCATTACCACATCTCAGGGGTGTGTCCCATCTGCATAGCTGGGATGACGACTGTAGATTAAATGGAAGGCTGTTGGCCTTGTGCCAGGAAACTGTGGGTTTGCGACACCCCACCATCGCAGTTATGACTAGTTTAAGATTAGGTCATCGGCCTCACTAGGCAGAACCAGTCCTGTCTTTTAATACGGGACCAAAGAACAAAGTGCCCCTCTCCCTTGTAAACACAAGCTTGGTCTCGGTGAAGGAAACGCCTTTTTTCCCCATCTAAAACATCGCAGTATCAAGCATGTTCTTTGGAAAAATTAGATGATTTCCGTTTACGTCACCATCAATGTTAATTCTAAATGGAAATTGTCATCGGCCACCCTAAGTACTGGAATAAAGTGCTTAGCTGTCGTTGAGATAGCCTGATCCCATCGCACAAGCTGCCTTGTGCTTTATCAGTCGAATCAATGAACGAGTTAGCTATGAACGTGGATACATACATACACACACACACACACACATATAAGGTGGAGCGATACAGTAAATACGGTCATGTTTTGACAGCAGAAAGACTGGCTGGAAGGGCGAGGACGGCCTTGTCAGTATTGACTGTTGATGGAAAACCGCTCTGTCCGAGTCAGGACCAGAGAGGGGAAAGCATGCGTGTTAAATAAAACAGTGAGACCTCCGCGTGAGGACATAGGTCTTCACAAAGAAAGCCCCGTCTGGGAAGGACAAGAGCAGGTCCAGGGCTGGACCACAGGGGACAACTGACAACAGCAGTCAGCTTCAAAAAGTCACCGACGGGGGTCTGGAGAGATGGCTCAGTGGTTAAGAGCATTGCCTGCTCTTCCAAAGGTCCTGAGTTCAATTCCCAGCAACCACATGGTGGCTCACAACCATCTGGAATGAGGTCTGGTGCCCTCTTCTGGCCTTTAGGAATACACACAGACAGAACATTGTATATATAATAAATAAATAAATAAATAAATAAATAAATAAATAAATATTTTTTTTTTAAAAAAAAGTCACCGACGGCTACGCTGAGCAGGTCACTGGCAGGACCCCACCCACAGACACATTCCTTAATCACATTCCCAAGTGCTCACGCCTAAGTGACCTGCCGAGATAGGATGCCGAAAACCGTTAGCGAATGGCCTAGGATGGTACGTGGGCGCTAAACACGGCATTCTCAGTCTAAATTTATGAGGTGCAAACTTTGAATAAGAAGATGACTCAAGCCTGGCGGTGGTGGCGCACGCCTTTAATCCTAGCACTCGGGAGGCAGAGGCAGGTGGATCTCTGTGAGTTCGAGGCCAGCCTGGTCTACAAGAGCTAGTTCCAGGACAGGAACCAAAAAGCTACAGAGAAACCCTGTCTCGAAAAATCCAAAAAAAAAAAAAAAAAAAAAAAAAAAGACGACGACTCACAAGGTTTCAGAATGTGTAAACACGAAGCCCCGTCTGATTTATAATGTCATGGGCTCTCACCCACAGCGAGCCTCGTGCGCTGCTCAGAAAATTGTTTGGGCTCCCAGGAAACATCAAAATGAGGCCCTCTGAGGCTGACAGAGAAGGCCGCTGTGGCAGGATTCCCACCCTGAGCTGGCGTGGTCCCGTACTCCCTGCATGTGAGGCATAGGGGCCTGGCGGCAACATCCGCTGCAAATGTTTCTTTGGGGTTGTGAGGAAGCAGGTTGAATGAGACCCGTAGACAGCGATTATAAAGATTAGAAAACACGGTGCTAAGAACATTGCTCGGTGACAGCGCTGGACGCAGGAGGCTCCGCGTTCAACCCTAGGACACTCAAAATGGATTTAGGTTCTGGAAACCTCAAATTGCCTCCGTGTCCAGTTCTCAGTTTCTATCGATGTTAAACTGTTTTTGCGACGCTGTGTAGGATGACCAGTTCAAAAAACCACTCTACCGAAAGTTTAGCAAAGGCAAGCGAGGTGACTGAGAACAGTCACCAAATGCCTGTCACACACCACCAGGGGACACATTCCCACCCAGGCGCCTTGGTCGGTGGCAATCAGCATGCACTCTACACAGCAATGAAAAGAGCAGGGCTGCCAACGTGGCTCAGGGTAAAGGTGCCACGCAAGCCTGCCACCTGTGTCCAATCTCGTGCCAAGAGGGGAGCCAGCTCCACCGAGCTGTCCTCCGCCCCACACACGTGGGCCATGGCCCACATGCCATTCACACATCATGCACAACACACAACAGGCACATTTTCAAAAAGAATTCATGGTCGTTTGGTTCACTCGAATATATACACTTTTATTTACCGAGGCATGGTTTTCCTTTTGAGACAGGTCTTTCTGTGTAGGCCGAACACAAAACTCACAGTGATCTTCGCCTCAGTCTTCAAGGACTGCCTAAAGCCTGACCTCCTACTGGCCCGATCAAATATTTTAAAAGTAAAAAAAGGAAACATAATAGTAGCGAGCATTTCACATAAATGCAGAGAGAAATCCTAAGGTTACTGTTATGTGATATTATTTCAAATGTTTCTCTTTGAAGGTCATACTGGATTGCTACAAACATCTCAGATTCTTTGGTTGAAGATGAACCTCCATTCTTCTACGGTGAGGCTTGGATGTAGTGGAGCTACTGGAAGAACGATCGTGGAAATTGTGACCAGAATCGGACTTCCAGGAGACCAGACTTCAAAAGGACGCTGTTGTAATGCCTAAGGATTATGTGGCCTAGCAGATGGGGAAATAGGAAGGGAAGGAGTGAGGGAGGGAGGGAAGGAAGGAAAGAGTTCTAACAACTCAATTTATAATGAAACTAGCTCTCATTTATGATTCTGTTAAAAACCGTGGTCAAAACTTGACAGACAGACAGAACACGTGTAAACCAAATGTAAAACTTAAAAACATTAAGAACTCAAACCTCTCGTTCATATTTTCTGATAAGAAACAGTGATTGTTTTTCTTCATTATCATAATCAGTAGAACCAGAATCCACGGCAGTTTGGAAGACTGAACCATTGCTCATTCAGAAATAAAAATGCTACCACAGTGTTAGCATTTGATGATTTAGGGGTTGCAAAAGTTTGTCTTGAAAGGTCACTACAGAGTCAGCTATCACCAAGGTTTCTGAGATCAATTTGGGGTTTCAACAGCCATGTCAGGATGCTTGGTTACCGTGAAGCCCGTTGGAGACTCTCATTCCTGAGAAAGCCCACGGTTAAGAGCAAGTTAACAGGCTTAAATTTCCCTGAAACGACGCTCGCACACAGCGCGGCCAGAAGTGGGGTTTAATGATTTAAAGTATTTGCCATCGTGTCTCCTCGCATTCTGAACCTTCAAAAGAAAACCAAGCACACATCACTGCAGTGAGCAGGAGCCCCTACCGTCTTTTAGTTTTCTTCGGAAGATTCAGAACACTATCAAAGCCATAAACAAAATGGTGCTGGACCAATAATACTTAGCCATCTCCAGTGCGAGATGTGTGAGCCACATACTAGGAAGGGCCTCCCAAGGTAACCAATACCTCTCCGGTCTACAGAGCGAACTCAAGGCCCGCTCAGGCAAGTTAGTAATCCTGTCTCAGAAGAAAAATGTAGAACAGGTGCTGGGCCTATCACTTAGTAGTAGAACCCTGGTCCATGTGTGAGGCCTGTGTGTTCAGCCCCCAGCGTCACGGGAAGAAAAAAGATGTTACCTTGTGCCCTGACACGCTGTAGGCGAGGCGAGTGGGCAGCGTCACGGTTGATGGAAGGTTCTAGGCATAGACCCGTGAGGCACAGAAGTCTTTATTGCCACAGGAAGCAAAGTGCACTCATCTCTTCTCATCAACAGTTTTAAGAATCACAAAAAGTTCAGAATTCACACAAGAAAGATAATACAGACCTGGGGAGAAATGGTCCCTGGGGTTATATTGGCTGTAATACTGAGGTAACCAATTGACCTTGTTCAGTGAAAATATCTTAACCCAAATGAAAAAAAAAATCACTAGTTATAACATCTAATTTATATACACCGTTCAAATAAAAATATATATTATATTTGCTTTAATGTATAGCAAGTTTAATACGTTAGTGTTTATAAAATAAAAACTGTATTCTACTGAACTTTTTTATTTTTGTGCTTCTTTATCTCTAAGCTTGGAAGTCAGAAAAAAACGTTACTCAAGGAAACCTACTTCTAGAGCCAAAGATGCAGGGTCTAGGCCTCGGAGAGACAGACCAATGCCAGCTGGAAGATTTCATCTCCTAAGACCTGCATGTTAAAATCTACAATCCTGAAATGTAAGACACAAGTTTTTTGTTTTTGTTTTTTTTTTAAAAACAGGACCCCATACATTTCTCAAAATAGATTACAGAATACAGGAAGTGGTTCATGAAAGTACTGGGCTACTACTGGCCAGTGCTGTGGCTAATATTAAAACCTGGACGTTCTATTCATCCGCTCTCACGCTCGCTCTCCACAAAGTGTGTGGGGAAACCACGACAATCAGCGTCGGGGTAGCACAGAGGCCGAGGTCCGTAAGAGACTTCTGCAGTGGGCAAAACGCCCTGGTCCCGTGGGAACCCGTAGGAAGGGAGAGAAGCCATCTGAAGGCCCGAAAGCTGCTTCCTGGCATCTCCTACTGTGACCCTCTTCTGCAGGTCACAAGGGAAAGCGACGGTGACAGTGGTTAGAGACTGGGGTGCAGCCATCTCAGGGGACACGCGGTCAGCGGGGGTTCCGTAGAGCGGAGTGGGGGCCAGTGTTTATTACAGCCGTGATCTACCACAGAACTAAAAACAAGACACATACGCCATGCCGATTCACCCAGGTCGCCATCTTTATCACACGGAGGGTTAACTTACTATGCCTTAATTTACTCAGCGTATTCGGAAACACCAATGTTTACGTCAGGGCTCGCAGAGTTAGCTCATTTATTTCAAGCTGTCTGTCCTGCTTTCTTACATCTCGAGCGCCTGTCATAAACCAGCTACACATTTCCCACGAACCAACATCAATTTTAATCAAGCAGTCAGTACACAGCCTCTTCCTTGGTGTAAACCGAGTAGTTGCCTTCCATCTCTCTCCCGTCACTGCCACCGTGCCCATCGCTACGTTGCTTAGGCTTTCTCCGTACGACTGCACGAATCCAAAACGTGGATGGGGGACATTTACCGTAAATACGTTTAGACAGAATTTCAAGTAAAAAGAATGGGTATCCACATCTATTAGACCTAAGGTTTAGACAAAAGGTTTCAACACCTAGATTTGCTTCTATAAATTACACAAGACACGTTGTACACTCTTAAATAGCAGATGCTTACAATATCGAGCCTCTCCATACGAACAACTTACAGAGAAAGGTAACGGTCAGTGTTTATTACATCGCAACGCTCTCTTGATTTCCTCCTCTGTGGCTGTTGCTTTGTCCTGGTTTCCACAGACTGTGTGAGTTCTTATGCTTTGGCTGTGATCTGTTTGAGCTGAATGAGGCAACAGTGGTTATTAAGGCTTATTCTATGATGGAGCATTATCCTTGAATCCGCTGCCGTTTGCAGAGAGCAGTGGGAGAGTCTCAGCTATCTTGGGTCTTCGGGCTCCGTCTTAATGGTTTTCTTTTCCAAGGGGAAAGCGGAGTGAGGATAGTCTTTTAAGATGCCAAGGCTCTCTGCATCCAACAGAACCAGAAAGAGTCAGGTTATTAAAGCCTCGCATCTCACAGCAAATAGTACTGACTAATAATAATTGTGAAATTCTACATGGAATTTTATTTACAGACTCGTGGTTAAAAGCATGGGTTTTGGCTGAACATGGTAGTGATGTATTCCTAGGCCATTCCCAGGAGGCTGAGGCAGGAGGACTGCTTTAAGTTGCAGGTCAGCCTGGGCTACATGGAGAGCAGCTAGCCAGCCAGGACCACAAAACTAGACCCTGTCTTACGAAAAACAAACAAAAAAATGAAGCAAACGAAAACAAACCACAGTTCCATTTAACCCCCAACTACATCAACTGCTAGCTATAAATCAGTGAGTTACCAGCTGAACCTTCATGTCCTTTCCTATAAAATGAGCAAAGTATCACCACAGAGCAGGAGGGGTAACCAGGAAATGTATATGAATAAACAGACCCTTCTAAAATGCCCACTGCACTGTGGTCAGTACCTAGAATCAAACAGGTCACATACAAATTGTCGTCGAAATACATCTTCAATTTTAAATACGAAACTACATCTAGATGTCCAATGGCATTCTAAACTGGGGAATCAAGTGGGAATAAAGAATGAAAAGTTTACTTTCCTAAGCAAAGATTCCATGGAGTTTTATTAATAGTTATTTTAACAATGGAGACCACTAAATGTGAAGTGTGGTCTTTACATAATGTACTAATACTTGGAGATACACACACACACAAACAAACACACATATATACATTACATATGTGCAAACATGTGAACTAATACACACACATAAAGCACACACACACATCCCTTAAGAGGGCTATACAAAGGGAACCAACACACCTACCCCATGTGAACACGGGGAGATAACTCACGGTCTGCAAGCCTCTCTACACAGAAAAGGATTTAACTTGCACTGAGGGGTAGGAAGAACAACCACAGTCCTTTGATTTTTTTACCAGCGGGACGGCTCACATGCTCTTGGTTATGGCTTACAATGATCCTGTGGATACCCACTTTACAGGCAAACCTCATGAGAAGCAGGGAGAACAAACTCTGGGTCACAGGGAATGTGTGTCATTTCTACTCATTTTCCTTAAGGAAAAGATTCCTCAACGGACTGACACGCGGTACATATGAACCACACTCGGGGACAGGTCCCATGCTCAGGAGTCACTGCCCAACATGAATCAGACTTCATGGTTTTGTTGTTGTTGTTCTGTGAAGGCGTAGGAGTGGGAGTAGGTTTACTTTTTAAGATAAAAATCATGAAGTTCGCTGAGTAATGAGGTGGGGACAAAATGGAAGAAATTGTGGGAGGGGAAGGGTATGGTCAATATATTTTAGGAAATTCTCAAAAAATAAAAAAAAAATTAAGACTAAACTTACATCTTAAAAAAAGCAACAATTCTTTTTTAGGTATTGCTTTGTTCTGTTCTATGTAAAATCCCAGCTTCACTAAATCTTCATAGAGCAGAGACACTAAGGTGTCATCGTGGTGAGGCAAGAATGATCAATGTATTGCAGCATGTCTTTTACGGAGGGTCTTTGAAGCAGTATGACTTTGTAGAAAACATGTTAGTTTGTTAAGAACTTGAAAGAAGAGTTGGTTTTTCATAGCGATGAGAAGAGGAGACCAATTTGCTGTCTTTTTGGGAGGGTTTCACTTGCTATCTTTGACAGTCAGGGAGAGCAAGGACTGATGGGCATAAGGTACAGACCAGTATCTAGACGTCAAGCTTTTCTGGAAGCATCTGCTCCCAGGCACATGAACAGGAAGACGCAGACTCTCGACAGACTTCCTAGACAATTCTTAATCCACCATCAGCTCTAAAGCCGTGTTCCCGCCGACTCAACTGTCCTATCCGCCCTCAGCTTCCCCACCTACTTAACTGTCCTATCCACTCTCAGCTTCCCTGTCCCTAAATTCAGTGACTGCGCTCAACTGATCCCTAATGTTACTTTTATTCAAAGGCTAAATGATACCAGATTCTCTTACATGGTGCTGGCATCTACTAATGGATGCTGTAAGATTCATTTTACTTGCGTAAATACCAGAAACCTTCACCCTAAAATGCTTCTGCACCAAAAGTCAGGTTCTGGTAACAAGGCTTTCTCGGCCCGAGAAGGGATGCGGAGCCCACCTGTGTCCCGTCACAGAACTGTCAGCCAATAGAGCCAGTCCAACTCATCGTAACCATTATCACCCAGCTTAGACCGCCTCCAAGTTGCCACCCATACAGAGGCTAGCCAGTAGTCTCAACTCTACGACTCTTCCCTGTCATCCCCTATAAACACCGTAATTCTCAAAGAGGCTGGCTAACGTTCTGGCGATCTATAATTTCCACTGGGGACTGACGTGTTCAGCGGGGACAGGACGGGGAGAGCAGAGCTAAGGGAACGCCATCCAGGCTTTCTCTGACAGCAGACTGCATTCTCACCTGACGAGTGGGACTTCCCCTCGCTGGAGTAAAGTCTGCTCAGCTCCCCATCGACCACAAAATGATGGGGCTGCCGGTTCTGTACGTTAGGCATTCGGAGATTCAAAGGTCTTTCCCCTAACGGAAGGAAGAAAGGAAAGGGAAACGAAGCAACGATTAAAACATTCCCAGTGGGTTTGGTTCGTTTTCTGTTGACTTTGTAGATAAAGGCTCACAAATTGCCGGAGCAGACCTTACGAAGAAAGGAACGGGTCACAAGACCCTGAAGCACGTATGCTAACTGGGAAGAGACATCTGAAATACCCACTTCCGAGGAAAATGGCGAGACCTGAAAGCTAGCACCAGAAGTGTACAACCGTTGGGGTATCTAAGATGAATCTAACAGGAGAGGGACATTTCCAGACACCGTCAAGCACTGTAAACACAGCTCCCTTGTAGCCATTATCCTGAACGCTGGGACCATGTACCCAAGCATGCTGTTACCAAACCACCAGGTAAAAAGAGAGCCAGAGACGGCTTCAGGCCAATTAGAGTTTTGTTCTGTTTTTAAGCACAATCCGTGGAAAAATAATTAGCAAAATGCTTTATAAATTATTACGTTATCATCACAGAAAATTGATATCCCTCTGTAAGCCACTCTAGGGTCATAAACTCAGCTCCATCAAATCTTTCTTAATTGTGTTTGCTTAACTGTTAGTTCTTAGCTACTAAGAAGGGTCAGAGAAGTTAAACAAGACCTCAGCTAACACATTTTTGTCATGTTTTAGAAAGAAAATCTTTCTTTTACTCTTGTGTCATGATCTAGGGGGCAATATTTCATCCCATCGCTAGAGAATGCTTGCTAACATGCTATTCTTGTTTGGATGGGAAAAAAAAATCCTTGGCAAGACACATCATACAAGGGATTAATATCTAGGACATATAAGGGAGTGCAGAAAAATTAGTCACGAAAACCGCTAACCTTCCAAATAGTAACTGTATTAATGAAATGATTAGATAACTCTGAAAAAAAAAAGAAATACACATGCATGCTCCCCAAATATTTGAAAACCTGCCCAACATTCTCGGCTATCACATAAAAACATACTAAAATTAAAATTGCTTTGATATTCTCTTCACCCCAGTTAGGATGGCTAACATTGAGAAAACAGAAGCCAACCAATGCCAGAGGGGATGTGGCGGGGCAAGAAGATCCCTACTCCTGCCTGGTGAGAGCCTACACTGGTACTGCCACACCAATGGAAACCAGCGGGGAGGGGTCTCAAAACCCAACACGACGGCCACATAATCTAGCTATACCACTCCTGTGTATACACCTGCCAGGATGGCAGAAATTCTGCCACTGAGATATGCACACGCTTGGTTATTGCTGCACGGCTCGTAATAGCTAAGGCAACAGCCCGGCCCAGATGTGCACCAGCGGATTAACGGTAAGGACCACGAGGCACAGATGCGCACAGAGTTGTGTTCTTCCACAAAGAAGAGCAAAATGACAACCCTTGCAGGAACGCAGATGGAATGGGAATCATTATACATTATGTTAAGTGAAATAAACCACATTCAGAAAGACAAACAGCACATTTTCTTTTGTACGTTGAACCTAGTGTGTGTGTGTGTGTGTGTGTGTGTGTGTGTGTGTGTGTGTGTGACGAAACTAGAAAGACTAGAAAGGGGACAATGAGCTGGGAAGAAGGGATTTTAGGGGAGGGCGAGGGGAGAAGAGGGTAATGCCATACACGTGACATGAAAGGGGGTGTGGGAGGGAGGAAGGCACTGGGGGAGTAGGGCAAATAAGAACACCATCTTCCCAAAATGCCTCATCAAAACCTGTTCCTTTATATGGACTTGAACCATCTTTTAAAAGATGGGTTCTAGCCGGGCGGTTGGTGGCGCACGCCTTTAATCCCAGCACTCGGGAGGCAGAGGCAGGCGGATCTCTGTGAGTTCGAGACCAGCCTGGTCTACAAGAGCTAGTTCCAGGACAGGCTCCAAAACCACAGAGAAACCCTGTCTCGAAAAACCAAAATAAATAAATAAAAGAAAAGATGGATTCTTACATGAGAAGGAGTTACCAGCAGTGGTAACCACTTGCTAGAAAGTGAACACCACATAAAACAAGACAACTTGGAAACACTGTTTTCCTTCAACATACTATACGGTGATATTTGAAACTGCAGGACCTATTTATAGGTTGACACGGCATGCTTCTCTACTCGAAGCTAAGCTGCACATGAACAAGGATATCTTTTGAGTTTCTATGCCTTCTGGGCTTAGAGGCATGCCTGGCATACAGAAAACCACTTCAAAAAAATCCTCTGAACAAAGGGATAACAATGACTTGGGATTGTCTTCACGCTGGGGACATGAGAAAAGTAAAAGAATTTTCACTGTGAAAATACTCACAATCCACCAGGCTCTCTGACATGGACTGGTGTTCTGTGTGTTTTAGAGATAACCAAGTCTTCTTAGGAAATAAATACTACTATATTTTGGACAAATTGGTTTTTGAAATTTAAAGAAAGATGTTTTGATCATTTTGAAAAGGCGAGGGTGTACCTCAGTGGAAGGTCCTAGATTCAATGCCTGGCAAAACAAGGGAACAGAGTCCATCTAAGTATGGTCTTTGATGGGAACTGTTTCTTTGAGAAGTGGCCTAATTGTTCGCATCTGCATCCTGACTAAGCCTCTCCAAGACACATGTGCAAACTATAATACAGGAATAATAAAACTTGAGGACTTCAGAAACGAAGGTAAACAGGATGAATAATTTCCTTTGAAAAGGAACTAGCTAAAACAGATTTTCACAGAGATAAAGTAATCCCCTCACAATATTGATTTAGCTCTAATCCATCCTCCTCCCCCTTTCTCTTGGAAAGGCGCGTGGCGCTGACTTGGGAGGCCAGGTCACCGCCGCTGAGGCCCACCTTGTCCATCAGAGCCATCGGAGGGCAGACCGTCTGGGCTGCGCTCTCCGGAGCTCTGCCTGTAGAGCCCTGCCGCCAGTCTCCTCTCCTGCTGCAGCCTCTCGTAGCCGGCCTGGGCACACAGGAGCTCCATCTGCTTGGCCATCCCCTTCTCAGCCTGCTAGAAAATAAAGCCGAAACAAAACCAGTAACTGCAGCGGTCTAGATTTCCTAACGGCTTAAAGACGCCAATTTGAGACGCCAGCAAATGTATTTAGTATTTATTAAAATGAGATCACACTTTCTATGGTATGCTTGTCTCCCTAAATAGGAATAAATGTCTGTGTCCTGTGAGATATTGAGCTTCAAAAGGTTTCTCTTCTGTCCCATAAAGAGAGTCCCATGTAAGCTCAGAAACAATAGAACTTTCACCCTTCACTTTGTTTTCCAAGGTCCTGGGTCTTTTAAAGGATTTCCCTTTCTTCAAAAAAAAAAAAAAAATACCCAAGAGCACCAGCAACATCTGCTATCACCTACTTTGAACATAGGGTGAAATTCTGGCATTTTATTTTAGGATTTGGCGCTACCCAGACTCCTGCTTGGAGGAGAGAAAGTGTAAAAACGCCCGTCTAGAAGAACAAGACAGACACACCTCCCACCAAAATTAAACAATGCAGAGTATGCAGAGAGGCCTCCTTGCCAGCAAGGCTCTCTGCCTCCGCCCAGTCAGAAGCAGCAGCGCCCCAGCCAGCACAGAGGGACATGTTTAAAACACAAGGCTGGTGTGTGACACAGGAAGTCGTATCCGCATGAGTTTCAAAGCCCCTTTCTTAGGTACTGTTCTAATTGACTTGCGAGTGATATTCAAAGTAGTGTATCTACGACATTTGCCAAGGAAGCCATAGTCAAAATGCAGAAGTGATTCATGACCATGTTACATAAAAGCACTATAAGGATTCTGCTATGTAAAATTGGTTACCAAAGCCATGATTCACAATTTTAAAAATCAATAGATGGAGCACATAATGAATTAGGTAACCAGGAAGACTGTCCACGCTTTTCTAAACGTGCACAAACCAAGCCGAAGGTAACAATAACTTCATTTCACTTGCGATGTCAGCCGGTGAACAGTCTGACATTTCAGCAGGTAGCTTCGCGCGGGAAGAGGCAAGGGATCCCTCCGTCTCCCCGGGACAGGTTTGGCAATACTACAGGGATACAAACATCCCCGGCGTCAACAAGGGGCAGTCACACACGGACTTTGGAAATACCTGTTTCTGAGTACATACAGAGTTAACAATTTACTAGAATTTGGAAGCAGGGGGAGGGTTCGTGCAGCACAGCGCTAGCTGAACAAGCCTGAGAAGCCATATTCAAACCCGGGCATGCACTACGATCCCAGCACTGGGGAGGCAGAGATGGGTGGATCCCTGGGGCTTAGCAGGCAGTAAACAAGATCCCACCTCAAAAAACCAAGGTGGGTGGATCCTGAGGAAGGACACTCACGGCTTTCCTCTGGCCTCCACAGACAGGTGTGCACACAAACATGCGCCCCTCACATATATACAGAAATCAGTAAGCTACCCCACTAATTTAACAATCCTTCAGTAAGGCTTGAAATGAGGTAAGAGTCACAATGTTGACAATATGTTACTGAGATCTTGTGTGATTTCACCTCAGAATTGTGCTGTACATGGTCATGGTGAGACTGGCTGCTTCCCCGCAATGCTACAAGAATGTCTTATTTCCTCTAAGAAAGGAATATATTACCAGACTTTGTTCATGAACCAAACGAAACCAAGCTGTTTCCGCCACCTTACCGAGATGGCTGCGGAGAAGACATTTTAACAATAACCAGAAACAAACTCAACCCTCTAAAACCTCAACGTGAAGCCGGCTGAAGCGGCCCCCTCTCTTCCAGCCTACAGCCGTCTCCCCCAAGGCATCCACTGTGGGGTTACCTGAGTACTGAGCGCCGCAAGCTCCTCGCTCTTGGCTCTGGCCTGCTGGAAGAGCGTCTGCACAGATTCCTGGAAATCTGGAAATCCGTCCTGCGGGGCAGATCACAGGGCCTGGGTGTTTAGACTTTGTTAGCACACAAAGAAAAATAACACTGCAGTGGTAAATGATCTAATGCGGCTGTAGAGTGCGTGGGTCATCGGCTACCACGCCTCACTCGCTACAGTCGGCCACGGGTGAACAAGATGGGAAACGCCAGCCATCATCACGGCCACCAGCACTGCCAAGGGGACTCTGGTTTTATGAAGCGCTGGGAACTATTTCCATGGAAACAGTACTTTCCTATGGGTTCAACGAGCCAGTAGGAAAACCATCATGAGGAAGAAGGAACCCTTCATCAGGACATCCTCTGCCACCATTTGCGGTGATTCCAAACCTTCCTAATACCGCGACCCTTTAACACGGTTCCTCAGGTTGTAGTAACCCTCACCTATAAAATTGTCATCATGGCTACTTCACAGCTGTAATTTCACTACTGTTGTAAATCATAATGTAAGTATCTGTTTTTTTTTAAATATTTATTTATTTATTATGTATACAATATTCTGTCTGTGTGTCTGCCTGCAGGCCAGAAGAGGGCACCAGATCTCATTACAGATGGTTGTGAGCCACCATGTGGTTGCCAGGAATTGAACTCAGAACCTTTGGAAGAGCGGGCAATGCTCTTAACCACTGAGCCATCTTTCCAGCCCCAAGTATCTGTTATCTTATGGTTCACAGCATTTTCTACTTAGCCTCAGAAACGATGCTTGGTTTCCTGCAGTCCACAGTTGCAGACACTCGCTCCGAGCCTAGGTTCAACCCATACACTCCTCACATGAAGACATCTTGGAAACACCATCCTTACAGCTGGGGTTGTCCCTGGTATGAAACCTAATCCTATTGTTCTTGCTGCTATGGCAAAGCAGACCATTTTGTCCCGGGTATACTGCTCCATCTGTAGGAGGGATGCTCTGGCAGTCGTGAGGCTAATTTATATCATCATTTTCAGAGGAACAAAAACGCATAGAAAATACTCAGGTCAGTGTTTGGCACGTAGGAATTATACATGAAATTCCTTTTTTTTTTTTTTGCCATTTAGACAATCCAAGTAAAAAGCTACTGGGCTTAATCAAAATAAAACAGCCCAATGTAGGTGACATACCATTCCAGTTATATAGAGGGGGGGGAAACATGTTTTAGAGATATTTACACAGTATAGCTATACGAGGATGAGTGGGTGATGTGGGAGTTCCCTCTGCGTGCTGTGATTACCATTAATGAATAAAGAAACTGTTTTGGACCTATAGCAAGGCAGAACTTAGGTAGGCAGGGAAAACTAAACTGAATGCTGGGAGAAAGAAGGGCGGAGTCAGAAAGAAGGCATGGAGCCACCACTGGAGACAGAAGCTGAAAACCTTACCTGGTAAGCCACAGTCATATAGCAATATACAGATGAGTAGAAATGGGTTAAATTAATATGTAAGAGTTAGCCAATAAGAAGCTAGAGATAATGGGTCAAGCAATGATTTAAATAATATGGTTTCTGTGCGATTATTTTGGGTCTAAGCTAGCCGGGCGGTCAGGAACCAACAAGCAGCGAGTGGCTCCTTGCAACAAGTGGGAACTACAAACTCTATAACCAGCAAGAAAGTCCTGGGTATGGGCAGGGGTGCACACTGGTGGAAAACACAGGGGAAATCCAGAAACACCTATTGGACAGAGACCCAGAACACCCAGGAGGCTCCCTGGAGGGCCTGGAGCTTAAGAGATGAGAGCGCTTCAGGAAAAGATGGTGACTCGTGTAGAGGCCTGAAGGCGAACCTGCCAGGCTGCACAGCACCGGTTTACTGTGGCTTCTGTAAGACAAGCCGTAAGGAAGAGAGCGGCAGGAAGGCTAGAAACTCACAGCTGGATTCTGTGGGGCCCGAGCAACATCTGAACCTCATCTCAAATGGAGTAAATATTCTCCTTCCTATAGAGAAGCCACCGACAGACACGCCCCGAAGACCTGATTAAGGCCACACGACGCACAGCTGAGATTAGCTGATGCCTATGCTGAAGACAGAGCAGAGGTCTGGCACTACGTGGAACTTCTGCTTCAAGCAAGGCTGCAGGGCCAGGCATCACTTAAGAGAGAACTAGAGATTGGTTGGACTCAGTCAAGAGGCAAGACTTCCTGCACACAAACCAGGCACAGGGAGTCTGAATGAAGGGGTGAGGTCGGGACTGGAGACTCCAGTTACCAGCTCAGCAGCAGGCTGTGGGTGGAGCTGCTCATGCCCCGGATGCCCCCACATCTCAAACGCTGTTGGAGGAGGCTTGTGAAGGAGGAAGAAGCTAGCCGGTCTTCTGCAAGGACCAGATGTGTGGTCTCAGCAAGTCAACCTCATTATTCTCGGCGTTCCCAATGTTTCCACAGAGATTACATTACCTGTTTGGCGGGCTCAGGGGGGGAAGAGCTATGGGCATTAAATGAACTAATGCAGATGGCAAATCTTGGCAGAGAGCGCCATCATGGTCAGGACTGTTCAGCCATGAGAATAATACAGCAAGGCTGGGGAGGGGCCCTCAAAATGCAGAGAAAGCTTTCTGGGAAGCGGGTAGTGCTTTGTCCTGAACAATGAGAAAGAAGCTATCTGGAATGTGTGAGGAGAAATGAAAGGGAGAAGCCTCCCCACCCCCACCCCCCCAAACACCCCCCCACACACACACTGGCGCACTGGTAGAGGAGCCTTGGTCCTTGGTCTCCTTCTCTGGGTTTGGCGCAGGACTTCCTCTGAGTCTCTACAGCTGTCTTTCCAGGCACCAGCTGTACCATGCTATGAGCCATTTATCTCCCTGTCACATTGCTGGCTGCTGCCATAATTCACAGCGTTCCCTTGGTGACGAGACTCCGGGCCTCAGCACTGAGAGAATAATATCTACGTTTGGAAGGCTGTTCCTGCCCTAATTAGCCTCACCGCTTCCGTCGATGCCCTCACGGGTCTCCATCTCTCCCGCCAAGCACCAGCGGGGCTGTTGGAAGCACTGCCCAGCTGTCTTGGAGTGACGTGGGGCGGCAGATGTTCCTAACCCCGTTGTGTTTCCCCCTTTTCTCTATTCACGCTTCCTGGATGAAGAGCAGATTGCACGGCTTCTGCCTATACTTCAGGCTCGCCAGCTTTCTTTCCAGAAGCGCGGCCACCGTGTAGGTGTAGGTGGGCATGCTGACCCCGGCCCCGCCGGGCCCCCTGGAGCGGTGGGCAGCTGTTTCCGGACCCAGTTCTCTGACTTTCTGGGCTCCGCTAAGAAATTCAAATTCATTCCACTCAGCTGCTTCTGTACTCTCCTCCACAGGGACGGGGTATCTCTGCCCTTTTCCTAGCAGCTCTGGTGGAAGAAAACTAACAGGGAAAAGATGCACAGCAGAGAGTCCATCCACACAGTCGGCGGCCATCAAGGGTGGGGACTGTGCTCCGCCTCCCTTTCTAAGAAGCTCCAGTGACTCTGTCAGTACTGGAGATAATGATAGTTTGTCCAGGGAACCTCACGTGTTCTTAAACCAGGAAGAAATGCTACCAACCGACTCTAGTTTTAACCAGTATTTTATAGTTTAAAGCAGGCCAGGGATTCTGGCTCCTGACTCTTCATATTCTATGGTTGGCTGTCAAGCCATCTTACCCTGTTCACAGGCAGAGCATAAATAAGTCAGACTGACTTTTACAGGTATACTCTATCTCCCCAACATACCTTCTGAACTCATTCTAAGCAGGCGGAGTATTACACAGTGCTCCCTTCGATATAAATATATTCTGTGGCTACCATTTTCTACCGAAAAGTTACAGCTGTTTCCCAGTCATCCTTGGATTAGGAAACAGTAACGGCCATTCCTCTTCTTCAGAGACCACCAGTTCCGTACACGTTCCCTTTACAAACACGGACAGGGCAGTTCTAAGCCCAACGGAGCTTTCCTGCGCCGTTGAGGTGTTCTGCGAGGGCTCATCGCCACCCAGAAAGGTACTGCCTAAGGCTCAGGTGTAAGACACAGGCTGGAAACCCCGACGCTGGCCCCTGGACAGCAACATGGCAACTCTGGGTCCGCCGTGGCTGTCAAGCAGACGTCATAAATGCTTGTATGCACACAAGAAGGTTTGTCACAGATGTCAGGCGGTGACTGGCATATGACAGCCTGAATTAGAAAACCATCATTGTTACGACTGTCCCGCAGCTAGGTGCTCTGGGGTCCCTAGTGAAAAATAAGAACATGAACACACAATTCATTCTCAGTTTAGCTAAAGGTGGGCTGGCTTCATGCAGCTGCTGACTGCTGCAGGTGTTTCCAAGCCTGACTTTCTAACTCGCAGGGCTTGGGGAGGGGCTTTCCCTGGAGGCCCACTTCCCTGGTGCCCCCTCCCGCCTAGGCTCACCTAGGTGGGAAGGGTCTCTCTCTCTCTGTAATTATCTCATTTAATCTCAAAATTGAAGAAATAAGGCTCAAACTCTACATATTTTAATGTCTCCCATACCTTGTAAGGCAGCATACCAGCGAAGGACAAGAGATAGATAGGTCTACAGAGAGTATGTTTATGCCTGAGAAAAATCTAATACAGCTTTTGTTATGGGATGACACTATGTTCTCCGGGGAGGAAAGTCGGGGTATGAGTATTTAAGATTTATTCCACCCGACCCTTCATGTGCAGATCAGGACCCAGGAGTCAGCAATAAGTACGGATCTGACTGCGCCTGTACACAGCACCATCTGACGTGGCACCCCGAGACACTGATAACGGCAGCAGAACCGCTTCCTCCCTTAGCACGTCAAATTCCTCTGATGTCACTTTTATCTGCCGGACATCACACTTTTGTCCTTGTCGTTCACTGCAGAAATAGTCTGTTTATAAAACACGGGAATGAAGGAACAACTTGCGCGTGCGCTTCCTGGTGGCTGGAGGAGATTTTGGAACAGAGGGAGGGAGAGAAGTAGCTGCTGCATTACTTTGGGCTTAAGCAACTAGGACTCTGTCCACCGTCTATTTTTATGATACTATCTTCAAATAAGGAATAAATTGAGAAGCACAAAGAAGTTGGCTAACGTGAGAGGCTCCAAGAGTTCTAAAGCCTCTCTGGTTTCAGGTTTCATTACGAGGTCCCCTGCATCGGCCATGCCTCTAGACAATTCTATCTACTGTTTTTCTGAGCATGTCTCCCCCATGCCGGTTGGTCTTTACAATGCCACCCTGAATACCCACTGGCATTCCTACCTTCTTTAAAACCAGCTCAGATGACACCTCCCTAGGTGGCCCCATTCATACGTTATCCTATGCCACAGCCTCCCTCTCCGAGTTGCCTGTGGAAGACAGGCTCTCCCAAGGCATCACTACTCAGTGAAGTGTTACAGGAAGCAGATCCATGACAGTCGGTCCTCCCCACCCCAGGAGCAGCTTCCAGAAGCACAGGGGCAGAGACAACCCCTAACCATGACTTAGAGCAGAACCAGGCTAGGACAATGCCGGACCACAGACCGTGAAACACGTCACGACACACACACCGTGTGTGTGCACAGGACACACCGAAGAGGCTGACGACAATTCCTCAGTGCCTTTACAAAACTAAGCAAAATGAACAACAATGAGAAATGGTAAAAAGTGAATCACCGTCCTAAATTCAAGCTAAGGTCTCCACTTGTTTCTAGGAACAAATTAGGAGTCTAGTGTTCATGCGAGCTCTATCTAAAGAGAGTTGAGCTAGTTAGTCACTGGGCTTATTGGGAAGGATTAGAACTTTCACAGGAAAAGGCAATACTGATCATTTTAAGCCTGAACAGAAAACTATTCAAGTGTCTTTGTGACCCTAAAAAAATGATGAGCCCACCAAACAGAACTATCCAGCTAAATTATCTCCAGTGAGATGTCTTTCAAGGAATTGAAATTTCACAGATAATGCAATTACCCAATACTCAAGTTTCTCATGATAAACTGTAGGAAGAAGTTTCAGCTCAGGGACACTGTGAAGGTCAAGAAACAGCGGCAGCTCCAATCAGCCATGACCGCAAATTTCAGCGTGGAACAGTTGGGCTGACATGAAGAGCACACCGAGTCGTAACCACATCGAGGTCCCATGCTGAAAGGAGACACAGGTAGGCCTCTCTCTCTGCAGCAGCCATGGCTAGGGGTGTGAACGGCCCAACAGCACATACCGGGCAGTGTCTGCGTTCACCTGTTCCCCCTCAGTAGCAGCGGCAAGCCAAACCTACAAGGATCTTCTCCAGGCCCTTACCTTGGTGTGCCTGGAGACACAGCCTGTTAGACAATGTCAACAGACCTCCCGAGTGGTTCCTGAGGCTAGCCCATCTCCAAGAGTTCTCTACAGTGAACACCAGGCCAAGACGACAAACAAGGAGCATGACTTAAAAGAGAACTGTCCCTTGGGAACAGAACACTCGTCCGAGAACTTTCCCTTGAGGGCAAAGCTTTGAGAAATCGAAGCTACTTCTCCACAGTCCCTCACTGTCTTATCCGAGCTGCTACTCATGCCTGTCCCCCAGGCAAGAACCCTGCTCATCTCCAGCAGGGCAGACTGGCCCCGAATTAAACATAAACATCCTAGAGTTCCAAGTAATCGTACGTGCTAGGAAAAAAAGTTGGCCAACGTCAGAGCCTGATTTGGGGTACACAAGCCCCATCCCCTGAACTGGAGGCGAGAGAGTCAGAAAGCTCAGGCATAAACCAGGGACGGGCAGCAAACGCCACGCACAGGGAGCCCGGTAAGCACCTTTGTCAGTCTGTGCAGGTGGAAGAGTGGGAGGAGCAACGGGAGGCAGCCAAGAGCAGAAGCCCAATTATGAGGGCCACAGATCTGTGTAGTAAGGAGGTCGCTTGTTTGGTTCCAGGCCGCCCGGGTAGCTTAGACCCAAAATAATCACACAGAAACTGTATTAATTAAACCACTGTTTGGCCCATTAGCTCTAGCTTCCTATTGGTTAACTCTTACATCTTAATTTAACCCATTTCTATTAATCTGTGTATCACCATGTGGCAGTGGCTTACAGGCAAAGTTTCAGCATGTCTGACTCTGGCGGAGGATCCATGGCTTCCCCTGCCTCTGCGTTCTTCCTCCCAGCATTCAGTCCAGTTTTCCCTGACTATCTAAGTTCTGCCCTATCAACAGGCCAAGGCAGTTTCTTTACTCATTAACCAATAAAAGCAACACACAGACAGAAGGACCTCCTACACCAGATCTGGGAGGGTTTAAGCAATTAAAAATTATGTTTTCACAAGATAATTCTGGCTTGGTAGCAAAAAAGGACTCTGCCACACAGACAGGCAAGGATAACACAGTAATGGAAAGTCTGTTTTCAAATATCCGAAAAGAGCTATGCTTTTCTTGCTCAATTTCCACACCTTACCATTTACAAGTTAAAATTACAATAACAGTCTCAACCAGGGTCGCTTGAGAAACGTTTGAAGTACCGTGATGTTTCCACAACTGTCAGTTCCCTCAGAAAATACAAAGTGCTGCATTCGGCTCCTGAGCGACTTGCAGCAAGATGGTAAGAAAAGCCATTTGACCAGTGAAGACTTACAAGTCTGTAAGACACTGATCACTAAACCAACCACGGATAAACCAGCTATCAATCTAGTCAATAACAGTTTCCTTTTAAGAATCTCCTGGGGGGAACAGGGAGAGACCGGACAGATGGCTCAGTGGCTCAGCACACTGGCTGCTCTTGAAGGACCTGGGATCAATTCCCAGGAAACCCCATGGTAGCTCACAACTCTCCAGTGCTAGGAGATCCAATGCCCTTGTCTGGCCCACATGGGCCCTGCACACGTGTGATGTATAGACATACATGCAGCAAACCACCCACACACCTAAACAGAAATAATAAAGTCTAAAAAACATTTTTAAAAAAACAATCTTGGTTTGCTCACTGAGATTACCACAGGTACTTCAGGGTAACAAAATTCTATATCGCTTTTACGATTCTGTAATTTTTGTTTGTTTACTACATGGCAGGGCCACTCTTTTTTGTCTGAACTAAGAAGATCTTACATTATTTTGGGTGATCTTATACACGAAGCAAAGCTTATTAGCACACACATAGATTCCATGCAGCCATACCTCCACTTTAATTCTCTTCGGAGACAACTCTTCTCGCTCGCCACATTTTAGCCTGCAGGGAAGGGAGAAAGAGAGAGAAAGCTTGAGACCGCAGCAAACTTCATTCCCGAATGAGCTCGGTCTGAAACGCTCCCTAGGAGTATTTACTTCTGAAACGACAACATGAGAAATGACATACAGTAACCATTGACATAATCGAAGAAGACACAGTCTCATCGTTTCCAAGTCAGTATTAGGGGATATCTAAGTAATATTAAATATTGTAAACTCGAGAACTCTACCAGAGAGAGCAGTGTTTCATGACAATATAACAGGAAAAAAAAAAAACAAAGAAAAGGGAAAAAATATTCAAGGGATATGTGTCTTTAAGAGTTCAGCAGGAACCATTTAAGGTAACACGATAAAAATGGTCATTTGAAACAAAGGCCACGAGGCGTATGAAATAAGATGGGCCATGCCTATCTCTCGACACCTCAGACATTGTTGCTTGACTCGGTCTCCCTTCTGGGAGCTATCCCAGGTCACACTAGCATGCGTAGGCCATAGTGCCCGTCAGCACTAGGGCATCCCATGCTTCAAGGCTTCACCTTGATGTATTCTCGCCAACTAAATTATGAGAAGTCAATCTAACTTATATGTAAAAAAAAAAAAAAGCCCTAAAATGTAAAAAGTGTATCTTGGAATAGGCAAAACACAACTTTACTTATTGTGGCATTATTTCCAATAACCAAACATTACAAACAGGAATCCACCCAAGAAGGGGACTGTGCCAGGAAGATCTCGTCTTCTTACACACCAGCAAAGGAACCAGCTTCCTCACGGCCACCACCAAGCCCGGCTGTCCGTGAGTGTGTCCATGTGTCCTCAGCTTCACACTCAAAGCAAAGGTCTGGGTGAGAGAATGTCTACCTGTGGCCAGAACACTACAGCCTTAGAGACCGAATCTTTCAGACGTGGAGACACAGAGGAGGATTACACAAAATCAAAACCTGCTGTTAAGATCAGAAGGCCCAGTGGCCACCACGTAGTGGGCTGCTGTGGACACATTACATACAGTTTATTTCAAAACCCAGAGAAAGGTTTCGGGATGTCTTCATTAAGAACACATGATTAGTGCTTGAATGCGTAGATTTAACAACCGATTTCAACATCATACAATGCATACATGTATTCCAATACCAAATGGTATCCATTGATACAGATACTTTTAATGCTTTTAAGAGCCAGTTAAAAATAATTTAATTAAAAAAATTTCTTTGAACAATGTTTTGAAAAGTGACTTAGCACTGTTTAATTCTGTATTAATCATATCTTACCTTTTCTGGAACACTCATATGTTAACCATGAACAATGTCTCAAACTCTGTTCCTACCCAGTGTGCAAATGCGCCATCCTCGACGTACCTGGTGGTCCTGTAAGTGTATTTGTAGGTGACTTCTCGAGAAACCTGTCTAGCCAGGGCGAAAAGTTCATCTCTTCTTGTCAGCAGGGCGTTGTCCTTCACACAAAGCTGGGCGGCCGCTTCGTTAACAGTGAGCTGAGCATCCAAAAATAAATAACTAATAAATAAATAAACAAACATATCTATCTCACTAGATAATAGAATGCTTCACTTAAGGTGAAAAATTCACATCATTACGGGAAGAAGTAACTCAGAGAGCTCCATTATCCCCGTGTCAGACTGCAGAAGGGGCAGCTGGCTTTGTCTTCTGGAGACCAACCAATTCGACATAATTATCTTGTTTTTACCTACTTGCATTTACATATTCTGTATTTTTGACTAGGCAGCTTATGAATGATAAAGAAATAGTCTACATCTTATTTCTCCTATGGAAGAAACCCTACAAAATTGATTTTTGAAATGGTGACAATCTTTCCTCAGTTAAACATATACGCAGCTGGCTGAATTTCTCACCTGAGCGGACATGAAAACTCCTAATGCAGAACTCATCAGATTAACTTCAACAGCACTGTGGTGAAGAGTCAGTACGGCACAGGAGAAGTGACGCCGCAGAGACTAACTTTCTATATCGACTTGATTCAGTAATTCTGAAAATACTGCCAGCATCATCGCTGGCTGGTCAGACACCTGTGCTTGAAACTTCAAACGGCACAGGAACTCGCTAACAAATCTGCATGTCCTCCAGAGTTCTGCCAAGCTGATGCAGGGAGCTACTGGCGGATAAGCCACACTTCTTCCAGAAAGCAAGAGACGTTCTCCATCACAGTGTGGGCAGTGGCAGGAAGGAGGGCTTGGTGCCAGCCAGACCCGGCGTTAATTCTGTGCCACCCACCGCTCATGGCGGGTGCGTCTGGACAACAAAAGGCTCTGTCTCCAGCCTCGGGGAGACAGCACCCCTCAAAGGCTCTCACAGGAGGTTTGAGAGGTGTTTGGTTCTCGTTTTTGCTTTAATTAGAAAGTTCAGGAATTCACCTTTTCTCTCTCCCCTGGCATCTCACCCTCATTGCTAATAACTTCTCTTATTTCTCTGCACTAAAACCTTTAGAGTCCTTTTCCATTTATGCAAATCTGTTCCTTTTATGTTTTTCCATGGTTTATGACGAAAAGTTGGTATGTTTACATCGGCACCTGATACGGGTTCTATGCACAGGGAATATTGTTGACTCATCACTGGATTTTAAAATCCTTTATTTTTATTTTTGCTACACACACCCAAGCCATTCCGGGAAGAACAATATATTCTTTAGCCCAGCCTCACCTAGGCAACCCCCGTCCCTCACGTATTACAGCAGAAAACCACATTCATAAATGTTCATCTTTGCATGCATATCTAATAGTTTACTTGGCATAAACTCCAACAAATGGACTTGTTGGATCATAGAACATACTAAGTTTTAATAAAATTTTTTTTAAAGATTGATCTTTATTTATACGTGCCTGTCTTGAGTATACGTCACATGTGTGCAGAGGCCCGAAGAGGCCAAAAGAGGGTGTAAGGTCCCCTTAAGTTGAGAGCTGCCAGACATGGGTGCTGGGAACTAGACTCAGGCACTCCAAGAGCAGCATGCCACTCTCAAGACACTGAGCCACAGTGCCACCCCCTACTAACTTCTTATGCCCTACCACAGTTTCCCTTTAGATAAAACTTCTCTAAAATGATACCATGGGCACTCGCAGGGAGACTATTCCTCGAGTCCTGCCCCGTGTTGCTTCCCTTTAAAAAAATAAAAACAGAAACCTTTACCTACTTCATGTATGTAACGGGAATTTGGTTTCGGTTTTCATTCATCTGACTAGAAATCAATCCTTTCCTACGTCTACTTCTAAGGTCTATTGCTAGAGGTACGCCAGTTTCTTCTATTGCGGTGTTTCGTTTGGACTTTAGGAAGTTGAGAATTAACTTTGAATCATATGTGGTGCAGGTCTCTTTTCTTACGTTTTTCAACAGCCTTATAGTCTTCCCTTTGGATGCTGTCTTAGTCCTGCTGTGAAGAAACACCATGTCCAAGGCAACGCTTATAGAAAAAAAAAAAAGGCATTTAACTGCTTACAACTTCAGAGGGTGTCTCAGCCAGGGATAAAACAGCATGACCAAAGCAACCCTGGAAAAGGGTTAATTTCACTTACATTTCCTTCCAGGTAACAGTTCATCCCCGATGGAAGTCAGGGCAGGAACTCACACAGGGCAGGAACCCTGAGGCAGGCGCTGATGCAGAGGCCATGGAGGGTGCTGCTTACTGGCCTGCTCTCCACGGCTTGCTCAGTCTGCCTTCTTCAGCACCCAGGATCACCGGGCCCGGGATGGTCCCACCCACAATGACAGGGCCCTCCAATATCAGTCACTAATTAAGAAAATGCCCTACAGGCTTGCCTACAACCGGATCTTATAGAGGGGTTTTTCATCTGCGGTTTCCTTTCAGATGATGTAGCCTGTATCAAGCTGACACAAAGTCAGCCAGTACTGAGGTTTAGTCCATTATCATCATGGCAGGACCATGGCGGTACTCAAGGGTACCCAGAGCAGTAGCTGAGAGCTATATTCTGAACCAAGGGCAGAGAGGTGGAGAGGGAGAGAGGGAGAGGGGGAGAGAGAAGGAGGGAAGAGAGAGGGAGGGGAGAGAGGGACGGAGGGAAAGAGGGGAAGAGAGAGGGATGGGAGAGAGAGGGAGGTGGGGGAGAGAGGGGGAAGGAAGAGAGAGGGAGAGAGGAGGGGGAGAGAAAGGGGAGAGAGAAGGAGGGAAAAGAGAGGGAGGGGAGAGAGGGAAGGGAGAGAGGAGAGGGGGAGAAAGAGGAGGGGGAGAGAGAAAGACAGGGAGGGAGGAAGGGAGGGACGGAGGGAGGGAGCAAGCACATCTGGGCCTGGCATGGCCTCTGAAACCTGAACGCTCACCCCAGCGACACACTTCCTCCAACAAGGCCACACCTGTAGGAGCCTATGGAAGCCATTCTTACAAAAACCACCACAGGTGCCACGCATGGAAACTCTTCCTTCCCTAGAAACACTTCAAGGTTCCCCTAAGCCCACCTTACCTCTCCCGTGTTAGCATTTAATCCACCCAGAACAGTGTGTTAGTATGACACAGGTGTCTGACATCATGTGTTGTGGTATGTAGCATGTCACAGACGTCTGACATCATGTGTTATGGTATGTAGCATGCCACAGACGTCTGACATCATGTGTTTAATATGTAGCATGCCACAGACGTCTAACATCATGTGTTTAATATGTAGCATGCCACAGACATCTGACATCATGTGTTTTGGTATGTAGCATGCCACAGACGTCTGAAATCATGTGTTTTGGTATGTAGCATGGCCCAGACGTCTGACATCATGTGTTACGATATGTAGCATGCCACAGACGTCTAACATCATGTGTTATGGTATGTAGCATGGCCCAGACGTCTGACATCATGTGTTATGATATGTAGCATGGCCCAGACGTCTGACATCATGTGTTATGATATGTAGCATGGCCCAGACGTCTGACATCATGTGTTATGATATGTAGCATGCCACAGACGTCTAACATCATGTGTTATGGTATGTAGCATGGCCCAGACGTCTGACATCATGTGTTATGATATGTAGCATGGCACAGACGTCTGACATCATGTGTTTTGGTGCGTAGCATGGCACAGACGTCTGAATCATGTGTATGGTATGTAGCATGCCACAGACGTCTGACATCATGTGTTTTGGTACGTAGCATGGCACAGACGTCTGACATCATGTGTTTTGGTACGTAGCATGGCACAGACGTCTGAATCATGTGTTTGGTATGTCTACCACCATCCTCCCTGGATTTCCCACTGCACTGCAGTACATGTTCTGAGGGTATGCCTTCCTGCTGACTGCAAGGCTGAATGTCCTGTGGGGAACTCACAGCTGAGCTGAGCACCAGGGCAAGAGAAGAACAGTCGCCTTCCTGTTCCTAACGCAGCATCCAGGATCAGCTGCGTCCTCAAACGTTTCCTCTGTCTTATTTTTGAGGGTCTTGTGTAGTCCAGGCTGGCCTCAAACTCTCTAAGTAGCAGAAAATGGCCTTGAACTCCTGCTCCTCCTTTTCCACCGCCCAGCACTGGATACAGGTGTGAGCCACTACACGTGGCCCCTGCTTTTGAAGGTTAAAGGGAAATACACCCTACAGAATGACGCGTGACCTGCAGGCCCAGCATGCCCGCCGCTACAGTGGCCAACAGGACCCCTCTCAAAGTGCCTTCTGGGTAGCCGTTTTTTATACTTGTAAATCTAAATGGCTATGGAAAGCTCTTGATTACCAGTGAGATAGCTGGGTTACTCACGTGCAGAACTACTAGTTTAGATACAACCACAGAAAATGACTTTTCAACATAAACCGAAAACTGTTTTATGTACCTTCTGCAAACTTATAGGACAAACAATGTAACACGCGGTCATGGAATTTCAACACCAACGGACGGGAAAAGAAGGCGGAACTTTCCCTGCTCTAGAGGACCCTCCTGGTGAGAGACTGGAGCAAGAAGCTAAGTCACAGTCTCCCCCTCCAGCCCGTCTGTCAGTGTTCCCCAGATTCCGTGGCCTCTACTTGGCAATAGCTAGTGCAGGACCCAGGCGAGACAAGCTCCACAGAGGCCTGAGTCTCAGTAGTTTACCACGAGAAAGACCATGAACGGAGATCACCCAGGCACCACCCCGGAACAGACCATCCAAAGGAATCCCTAACGTTCCAGTCATTGTAGACAGAATCACCTGCCAGCACACACCCATCGCCTCTCACCAGGACACCCCCAGACAAATGCCAGCCAATCAGAATTGAACCCATCACCCCACCCCCTGCTAATGTAACCTTTCTGGTTTTGTCTTTAAATAATGCCCCCAGAAGGGCTGGGTACCTCCTCTTGCCGCTGCTGTGATGACGGAGGTCCCTGCCGGCTTGTAATGCGCACACAAAAACCCTTGCTTTTGCATTTCCGTGAGTCTGTCTCCCTGGTGGCCTTTTGGGGTCCCCATGGACTGGGCATAACATTAGCACATCCGTGACTAAGACTTTTAAAGAAGACTGCAATTGCTGTCGCGGGCACTGCTGGCTGCTG